AAATATTTCTATGTCTCCTACAAGTCAAAGTATCGTAGCAGTTTATTTTGTCTGCGTCTACCTACTGATTTATTCCTACGATGAGACATACGTGGATCCACATCAACAACACCGATTGAATATGAATTTAGCGCCTTATTCAGATTATTTTGAGGGGTTTAAGTAATAAATATAAAGGAGAAGCCATGTGAATGTCATTGGATGGAAAGTCCAGAGCAAGGAAGTTGAAAAGAATATTACAGGAAAAATTCAAGCCAGGAATAACTGAATAGAGTGCATGCCTTGGTCTAAAAAGGCCCATACTGTAGAATATTCTATTTTAATTGCAAGGTAGATGCTAGAAGCAAAAATTTACACAGGAAACAGTGCACAGAACTGCAAAGTTATATATTGAGACATAGGCCAAGACCTAATTTTCTAGAAAATGTCTGAAAAAAATCAGCCTGAAATAAGAAATAGGCTGATGGAATTCTAGGCCTATTCCTGTGCAGGCCATATTTTGCAGTCTGGTTTAGGCCTATATCTGCTAACTACCCTCTCCTTGTTTTTTTTTTTTTTTTTTTTTTTTAAATAAAGGTATAATGGCATTCCAAATATACTATGACCATAGGGTAATCACCCTTAACAGTACCTCCACTTTGACTTGCACTTTCTCCCATGGACACTACATACAGTATTACTTCTGAGATTTAAAACATTTTTACATCACAAATCATAATGTTGAGTTTAAAATTCACAGGTTACATATTGTTCCTCAATTCCTTCTTTGTGTATTGATTACTTATGTAATTAAACACATTCACTTGTCACTTAAAATTACCTATAAAATTTAGAAAAATTACCTTGGCTTCAATGCGTGCTCGTTCCTCATTCTCAAGATGTTCTCTTTCCAGACGTTCTTTTTCTTCTTGTTCAGATTTTAAGCGCGCTTCCTCTATGAAATCAGTAATAGAAAAAGTTGAATAGAAACAGACAAGAGTAATAAAATTACATAATCCTGTTAATATATTATTAATTATTTGCTAGAGTAATTGTTATTCCTTCCATTTAATCTGTTGTCTGTTTGGCATTCATGTATTCTATTTTTTTAAAGTCATAATTAGCCAGAGTGTCTTACAGCTTGACCAAGCACCCAACTCGTTTGCCAGGATCCTATTAAACCAAGGAAAGCTTGTGGTTCAAAAAGGAAATTAAGATGTCATTTTACATTAGAAATAACAATTCAAAAGAGTTTGTTAAAACAAAGATAAAGAACTTTTAGAGTGGTGATTCTTATTAAAACTGATATCATTATTATGAGTAGTTTTGATGGTTATTTATAGTTTACTAAACTACCTAATCAATAAGGCTATGATATGAGGTTCTTTCTAGGTCCCTGTAGCAATGAATGTATCGCACTGGGAACACCCATTTCCAAATACTGTAGGTTGATTTAGCTATGTCTGTAGGGCGTTGGAACAGGGTACCAAAGTCACTGGATTATTTGTGGAGCAATCAAATTTGTTTTGTGAGCTCACCAGTCATTTTTTCCCCACAGACATGAAAATGTGTAAGTTTTATAGCTTTTTTCTAACACTTATATTTTTACAATGACTAACAAGACCCAAAAATGTTGCATTATAAGTTGTTTCACATATTGATCTGCATATGTTAATATTGCTAAATTTTGTCTGACCTTTTGAGTATAAACTTTCCCAAAGGCTAAAATAACAGACAGAATAAAAATAATTGCCAGTACCAAGAATGTTATTTCTGTACAGAGAAAATATCAATTGAAATATTGTGTATCTGATTTGTAATTGTTTCCTATTCAATAAACTTTATTCATGCCTGATTTTGGTTTGAATAAAATGCTTGAATTCACTTCAGCAATGCCTTCAGAAACAAGTTGGCCCCTTGGGTTGCCCTTCACACTATGTTTATCTGATGATACATAGAAATTGTATGCATTATCCTCTAGGGTTAATCAAATTTCAAATTTCATTTTCTTGTCAAAAATGTCATTTTCATAATCATATCTTTTCATAGACCAATTTGTAAAAAGAGAAGTTGTGTAAATGATTTTCAAATTTGCCAACTATCAAACTTCTGAATTTTGTAATTCCTAACATTGGTTGTACTGTAATAATTCTCAATTAGAGCTCTATCTAAGATCAAATTATTAATAAAAGTACATAAAGAATAGTTTGTTCAACATATGTTGCTTGCAATGCTGAGAATACCTTAGGAGTATATTCAAGCTCAAAAGCATGATTATACCAAACAAATTTTTGTGATGCTTAAGCTTGACTAAGTCCTGAGCAGTCTGCTCTATGGTTGGCAGTGTTTCTTTTTTCGGTAAAGAAATATTTGATATGTTGAATATGAACATTTAGCAGGCAATCAAACTAAGACTCGCCTGTTAAACTATGAATGCACAATGACAGACGATACCGGTAAGCATAGATCTAGCCTTGGAGATGTACTGTGATGGCCAAGCTGAAGGAGATGGGTACGACATGGAAAGAGGCAGAACATATAGCAAAAGATCGCTCCAGATGGAAGCAGATCATTGACGCCTTATGTCCGCTTGGGACGAAGAGGATTAAGTACGTAATAGCTATATCCTTAAATTTTTAAAGTAAAAATCTAAAATCTAAATATAGGTTATTTATTCAAATTCAACAATCTGAAATACTGTGTACAATCAAATATCTTGATGAAGCATTGATTAACTCAACATTGAGAAATACATATGGGCATTTGCTCAATATCAGTCAAATAATGACAACTGTTTAAAATTCAGTAATTAAATGATATATTTTTAACTATATTTGCTGTTTCAACAAAATTATGTCAAGCAGAGAGCATAAGATCTAAAATGTTAATAGTACCTCTTGCCAAATTTCATTAGGTTTACTAAATCATGTTTGTTGTACAGTATCTAAATGCAAACAGTTAAAATTTTCAGTTATCTAGCTTTAAATTAAAAATTAGAATAAGTAAAATATTTTCTCGCCAAAAAACGGATGGATACCTTAAATCCTGACGTGCAAGCCGCATATGCGTATAAGCCTAACACATGGGGAGGGGCTTATGTTGCTTGTAAATCTACTACCAAAAAAAATAGTATTTTTTGGGAGTAGATTTGGGAATTTTGTAGCTAGCTTTCCACTTCTTTAAAAATTTGATAACATTTTATTTAAAATTTAAAGAAATATTACCATGGAGAGAAATACAATGTATAAGTTAAATGCTAAATTGAGTAAAATAGTAGATTGTATTTGAGGAATTTTAGGTTTTTTTGTATCAAAAGAATGCCAAGATTGTAAATTTCTGGGTTTTATAAATTAAGTTGGCTTTCCTGAAATAAAATATTGAGCTTCATTTAAGTTTTTGAAATATCATTTTAAGTTGTTTTTTTTTTTTTTTTTCTTTTGTCTTTTTCTCATCATTGTTAACTTTGTGTATGCTTCCATGAGCATGGGATTCCTTTAACATTTGAGGAAAAAAAATTAAAAAAATTGAAAATACAAAAAAATAAAAGATTTCATTGTGTCCTTTCTAAAACTCAGATGGTACTTTACATCATAAAATAAAGAACATGAACAAAACACCTGATGTACTGTTGATCAAACTGTTGATGCTTGGAATATAAGCACCAACACCAAACTTTAATTCATCAATTTTGATCAATCTATTACTAATACTACATACATATGTTAATATAAATATTTGTAACTGATGTCCAATTGGTAAATATTATTTGTCTTACCTTCCTCTTTTGATTTTCTTTCAGCTTCTTCTTTCTTGAGTTTCTCCTTGTCTGCTTTGCTTAGTTTGGGCTTCTTTCCCTTGGCAGGAGACTTTGGTTTTGGTGGCTATCAAAGCAGAGAAAGTTGATACAACTTGAAAATGGGAACAAAGCCAATCACATAAAATGAAGGGGGTAAATGGATGTTAACCCTTTAAGTAACAATTTGCCAGGAGGTAAAACCAGGCTAAAAAAGTAGTATCACAGGTGACAGACAAGTGACAGCTGTCAATCATCTAGTTATAGACTGATCGACACATTCAAATCTACTTTGGCTGACCCTATTGAAGTATAATACAAGTTTAATCCTCTGACCCAGCATACTGTCCACAAAACCACACACATCACTCACTCCATGCTTATGCCAAGGACCAACCAATTACATTTTAGTCCAACCACATCCCTATTTTATTGAAAAGTCATGATCTTTTGGTATATTATTAATGAATTGTTTTATTTATTACAATAATTTCACACAAATATATACAGTACTGCAAGATCGCTGATGAACTTGAAACATACACAATTCCAAGCAACGCAGGCTAAGTATGTTATTTAAATTGTATCAATTATTTTCTAAAGGACTGCAATAGGGATCATGACGGATATGCAGAAACAAAGTTAGTGCACTTTACGTTCACAATGAGTAAAAGATTTTTTCCAGCACTACAGGACAACAAAATGCACATTTCTGATTCATCCACTCACAGGTTGCTACAAGCCGTCAGGATAAAGTTCTGAAACTTCCGGCATTACTCCGCACCACTGGTAATCAGCTGGAAGGAACTTGTTACCACACCTGTGGCCTACCATCAAAAAATAACTTGAGCACTCTCACGAAAAAAAATCATCTCTAATTGTTTCATATCAGTAATCAGGTCAACTGCAGACATTAAGAATTTAATTCTATTTCTATTTCTTGTACGTCAATCTACAGACACAAAAAAAATCATGTCTATGATGAGACAAAAGTGTAATGACTGAAGTATCCAACAATTGGCACACATCACAAGCCAACACTGTTGTCAAATGTTTTTTTCTTTCTTTCCTAACAACACTTGTATCCAATGAACTGTGTGTGTAAACAATGATCCTTTCTGACACATTTATAAAATGGAAATACATAGCCTTTTAAGCAAAACATAAAGTGGAAAAAAAAATTAATTTTTTTTTTCTTATTTAACCAAATGATTTTGCCAAAAGCATCTGGCGGAAGAAAAAATAAAAAAATTAAAATTAAATTTTATTGATCAATGTAAACAGTGTAGTAACGAGATTGATGAATGTATTAAATTTATATATTATTTAAGGAAGAAATGTCTTATTTTGGGGGATTTTAGGGGAGTGGAGCGTAAAATTTTTTTTTTAAATGAAATTTCCGTTTTCCATGGCGGAGTGTACACAAGTAAAACTTATTTTTATTCAAAAACACCATACCTGTAATTGGCGGTCGGAGGGTTCGCTAACCAAGGTATACAAAGAGTCATGCCTTACGGAGAAAAAAGTAATTGAAATAAATTTTTACAGGCTCAAAATATTAGTTTTAATGAGGAGAACTACTTGGTTCAATTTGTCAACACTGATCTTGTGTACTATGCAGAAAAAAAAAAAACAATTCACCTCCATAACTAATCATTACATAACACTTCATATTATTATATGACCTATCAAAAAATGTGACCCCAGTCTAATGTGAAAAAATTATTTACAAAAATAACATTGAAATTGAAAATAAGTATCATTATAAGCTTCCAAATGGACATTTTCAAGCACTAAACAAACATCATTTTTGCCATCACCAAGAAATCTTTATAATCTCAAAAGGCATCTTACATGGCCGAGTGTTTTCAGTTGCTTGATATAGGTGTAATACCCCATGATGATAAAATCAATTTTGTGTATACAGCAGACTTTGAACATTTAATGTGCAAGATTCAGGAGTCAATAGAAATTGAATGTTGCAAACACTTTGTAGCCATTAACAATACAAGTTTTGTATTTTAAAACGTTGAATCGATGTTAACTTGTTATTTACAGTATAAATTGGACTTTAATATGAAAAGTGCCATTGTTCATAAAAGCGTAGAGTCTAATATTATTTATAAGACATGAGAGATGACATCACAAGTTGATTTTGTGGACACAATCCGTGACCACCTTCTCTGTTATGCATAATGCTATGTGTATAGCCACAGTAGCTTACTACAGTATTTCTGCGTTTACATCTGCATCCCATCCCATTATTTATCAGCATGATTAATTTTTTTTTTTTAAAGGAGAAACTAAAGTAATTTTGCTATTGCCAGTGAAGTGATGAAAAAAGAAAAAGAAAGAGTATTACTAAGATGACCTTAATTAAAAATTTCTTTTTTTAGTAAATAGAATATATCAAATAGAAGGAAGTTGTTTGAATTTACCAACTTGACTTGATCCATTATAAGTTATATTAAATTTACACCAACTATAGTATGGACTTGTTTCAAGTTTAAAATATGTAGGTATCCATGCAGCTAATTTGCTATGTTTAACATCTTGTCATATTTTACAAATAATTACACTAAAGACATTGCATTCTTTTATATATTATTTTTGTTTGTTTTTTTTGTTCATTGAAAATATTTAAAAACATGCACATTTCCATGGATATAATTTGCAACTTTCAAGACGGAAATCATTAATTATATTCATTACTTTACAAACAGTATGATAAGAAACATGCAGCATTATCATAAATCACAAACCTAATCAGGGTGAACGAGGATGCTAATCTGTTGTGTGTAACACAAGTTGCCTTTGTATTGCTCTACTGACATGTCACATTACAATTATATTATTCTTAAATAATTTATGCATATTATTCACTACGTAGTCCAGGCTTGATCATCGCGATGAAAACTTCAGGTGACTGACGATCGGGCACAACTGGTGTGGACAATCAGGCCCTAGCCAATTTTGAATATACTGCAGTTTAGAGTAGTAGGCCACTACCAGCTTCCCCACCCCTGATATTGTTCCAAACTACTGTAAAATGAAAATACTGTATACCTAGGCCTACAAAACTTCTGTGTAATTCATATATTATTCTACAAAAGTTTTAAGTACCTTGTTGGTGTGCTGACAAAAATAATACTGTAATTTGCCTATCAAATAACATGTGGTCTAAAATCATTATTTTGGGCCATAAAAACTCACTCCCCGACCGAGGCAGGAGGGGATTTAGGGGGAAACCGGGCCGGTCGTGCCGCCTTTTGATAAGTAAATAACACCTAAGAGGTTTCGGGCGTCAAGAATACAAAAATTTCCATGGGGCATGTAGTGTTGTCTTGGTCAGCCACTCTTTCGGGTTCCCCGATTCGGATATCTCCGGATCTGCTCCTGCGAGGCTCTAGTTGTCCCCTTGATTCAGACTCAAGTGTCAGACATGTTAGACCCCCTGTCCTGTCGGCAAATTTTGGCTAATGATTTTCAATAATCATCGTAATATTTTGGCTAAAGACAGATTCAATTGGCTAAACAAAGATTGTTGGCTTCAGGCAATTGGCTAAAAAAAAATAAAAATTAACATTGTTAATTTCAAAGATATTTATGAGTTAATATTTAACGGTTTATTGTGTCACATCGCCCAGCTGCGCGTTCAAGCGTACGAAAGGCTGTTGTTGATAATGAAAAAAATGTTAAAATAGGAGACGCCTGCGCGAACATTGTTGAATGAAACCAGCCATGTTGGTAACACAATAATCAGACGATTGAAATTAAAATAGTTTTTAATTCATGGAAATTCTCTCTGCCTTCAAATGTCAATTTAATAGAAAACCTCCGACCAGCGGTGGCTCCAGAAATTTGCCGACCGGATTCAACATGTCTGACAACGATCTGAACCAAGGGGTCGACTTTCACTTCCCTCTCCCCTACCCCTACGCTTGCTTTCATTGGGGACATCATTCTCCCGTAGGGGACCTTGGACCCCATCCCTGTCAAGCAATCATGGCGTCACCCCTGAGTATACCCAGAACAACATTGTCATTTTATTGTGATCTTAAAAAATTATCCATGCCTATGGAAATATTTAATTCTTATATAATTAATAGACTAACAAAAATCGAAATGGTATAACAGACCGAATCGGCAGCTCGGGTCACGTGACTTATAGTGGGTATTAGGGTTAGAGATTGCGAGACGACTGTGCATTGAATATGGCTTCGCCTTGTGTTGATGCAATGGTGGTTGGAACGCGAGTTATAATTTGGTAAAAATTAATTTTTCAAAGTACTGTATCAGTTTGGTTTGGTAAGGCTCCAATGGATAGTGGGAATAAAGCCTGCAAGTTTTTTAAGGAAAGGTACAGTATGTTCACGACGTGCAGGTTGCTCTTGGAGTCGTCACCGGCTGAGGTACTTTTTCGGCCTAAGTCAAGAATATTATTCGTGGCAAATGCTATCGCATTGCAAGAGTATTATTTTACAGTGATTTTAAATCCAAAATTAAATCATAAAATGTTAGTAGTTAATAATAATAACTTTATTTAATAAAGCGCAAAACAATATCCACTTAAAGTGATCACCGGTGCTGTACAGAATTTTAAAATATACATTTAGAAAAAAATCAAAAAATACATAAGAAATGTACATTTAAAGTTAAATAGAAAAAATTGGAACATATAATCATCAAAAATCACAATACCATTTAGCACATCAAAAATCTACTTGAAATAAAAGAAAACGCGACATGAAAGAGAACGGTAAAAATATTTTTGGATTTTGTAAAAGGAAAAGACAAGACAAGTCCACCAAACCGTTACGGAATTTACATCAAAAAGAAAAAAAAAGCTAGTTATTGGCGAGGATGATGATCATCATGAAATAAACAAATATTACGTACTGGCATTAGGATATTATTGTAACATACAACCAGGCCTATTTATTCTCACCAGCCTGTTTCCTAGACCAAGTTTGGTTGAGAAATCAGTGCCGCTAAGGGCTATTTTCTACTTTATTACCAACTCGACTACAGAGATATATAGTCGAGTCATAACAACTCCCTCCCTGGTCCAGGCTCTCTGGTAAAGGC